ACTAATGTTCCAGACACTGTATTAGTGCTTTACTCATATTACCTCATTTAATTCTTGAAATAATCCTATGAGGTAGGGGCTATTAACTGTCACGCAGATAATAAAATAATGAGAGAACCAACACATTAAAAAAAGGCAACTAGATGGGACACCTGGCTGGCACAGTGGGTAGAGGACGTGACTCTTGGTCTCGGGTTTTAAGTCAGCCCCACGTTACGTGTAGAGATTACTTCAACAGATGAGATCTTAAAAAATAATTAAAAAATTAAAAAGGCAATGGGTAAGACCAAACTAGGATTCAAACCCATGCAGTCCTGTTTCAAAGATGAGGTTTTAACCAATCTGCTACACATCCTTTTGTTGAGGTTAGCTCTCTCCCCACACACAAATATTTGTGTGTTTACTGAGTGTCTATTATGTGCCAACCAGTCTGCTAAAATATGCTAAGGAATTGTGTTGAAAATGAACCGGAGATGCAATAATAAATAAGACATAGGTTCTATTCTTCTGGAGTTATTTTTCTTTGCTTCCACTTTATAGAGTTAGAGTACATGGGTTCTGTTTTTCATCTGAGTTCAAAACGTATTACTCAAGATGACCTTCAAGTGAATTCAACAGAATTTGACAGTGAAACTTTGAAACAAAGATATCAGAATAGCTTCAAATTTGAAATACGATTTAACCTCCATTGTACTTTATGAATCTTTTAGTAATCAAATCAAGAAAGCATGACTTGAATGTGATGAACCAAATGCTTTTTCTGGTCTCTGCCCCCAAGAGCCCACAAAATTTCTTGAATTTATCAATTTAAATCCTCCCCAAACCACCTCTTTTAATACACTGATACGTCCATTCCTCCGTCCCTCAATCTACTTCTGCCATAACTTCCTAGAGTATGTTCTACCAGCGAGGAAATTATGGTAGGGAAATAGTAAACCAAAGCAGTCTTTACATTTATTTTAAGTTGCAAACAATAATGTTGCCTTGCAGTTGCTTTTTGTCCTGATTTTTTAATGTAGAGATTCAGATCCATGGCATTTTAAGATTTTTTACCAAGAAGTTTCTTGCTAAATATAGATCTAACTACACACAGATCTGTTCATTCATTCATTTAATGTAAATGACTGGAGTGCTCACCATGACCCAGGCTCCAACTTAAACTACAAAGGTATATTGGTGTAGCAGAGAAAACAGGCAGATAGAAAGCAACTACACCAATGATCTAACAGATGATGCTCAGTAGATTGGAAGCAAAGAGGAAAAAGAGCTGAATGCATATGTGTCTATATGGTATAACCTCTCATAACGTGTGAACATGGAATGGGAGTAGATGAGTTATAAAATGAAGGGGAAACATCTGGAGTTTTTCCTTCCCAAATAACCATGTCACTACTTTCAGGTAGTCTAAGAAATGGAGCAGCACAAATGTATCGATGATACTTTTTAATGATTGTGAAAGAGCTAAAAAATGTGGAGCATCTTGTTGAAGATACAAACATCTCAGCACAGTTTTTATAGTAATGAGTTGTGACAGTGAAATAATTGTAATAAGTGTTTCATACAGGATTGGAATCAGTTTATGTGAAGAAGCTATGCATTCTGCACAAGAAATAAAGGAATCATCCTTACAAAGGAGCCATCAGTTTTAAGTGGTGGGGGAGTTCAGTGGATTTTATGATAAGGCAGAGTCAAAGTGGATGAATCCCACTTTATCAGTTGGGCTGATAGTAGACAACCACTACTGCTTCCTTACCAAAATAAGAAGAAGAAAGCCTTTTTGATGCTCTCAATTTGGTAGTGAGTGTGTGGTACCACAAGATGCTTTTAAGGAATCATTTACTAAACCTGGAATTGAACTCCTTTATGAACTCAACTGTAATTTTGTGTCACCGGGTTTTAAAAATTAAGCAACTTCTTTATTTATTTATCTTTGGTGGTGGCGGGAAGGGTTTTTCTGGGTGTCCTTCCTGATAGATACTGTAGTTTCTAACCTGAAGAGGTCTTTTCCAATATTTGATGAAGAATCATTAATGGGCAAAGAATTTTGGTAGCTGTTCAGGAGCTGGTGCCACGAAGCAGATTCATAGTTGCCAGAGAATCAGGCCAAGGCATACTTTCCAAGGTGCGTTTTTCCTATCTAATGTCTGCCAGGGTCCTGCCTATTGTTTGCAAACCGTCCAGGCAGCATCTGAAGCTGTTGTTTGGCTACATCCGTTAGAAACTTATTTGCACTCGGGGTTTTTTGGTTCTGCTATTGCCCATCACCCCCCTCTCCCCTTTGGTTTGTGCCGGTAGAGACCTGCCCTGGGGGGAATTTTGTCCTGGGAGCACAAAACTATTTTCTTTTCTGGAAATAAGTTGACGTCAACTGGGAGCTGTTTTTGGTCGCTTTGTTTCCCGGAGCGTCCAACCCAGCACACCGCCTCCGGCAAATTGCAAGCAATTCAAAGCAGCTCACCCAGCCGGGAGGGGAGCTGGGGGAGGGGGCGGGGAGGGGGGCTCGCCTGCGTAAGTGGGGAGACCTGGGGAGTCGCTCCGCTCCGGGGCTGGAGAGTGGGCGGGTATCCCCAGGCCGCTCCGGGAGCGCAGCCCCTCGGTGCACTGCGCTGGCCGTGAGGGCCGCCGGAGAGCAGCCCCTGGTAGGTAACTTGCTGGGCGCCCACCTGAGTGTTCAACACTGATGCAATTCCCTTCCCGAGTGTTCGGGCGCCCGGAAAACCTGGGAGCATCCCGGGACAAAGGGCCAGCCCTCCGGAAGTAGCCCTGTGCGACTGGTGTGTGCGCGGGTTTGCGTGTGCAACTAACTTAGTTGCCTATTGCCCTGAGCTCCGGGAAACAAACAAACGCCTTCCTACATATTTTCGGGGACACAGTGTATTTCGGACAAAGCGGGCAGCACCTCGGGGATGTTTCCGGAGGGATGCAACCACCGAATTCCTCACCTCCCCGAAGGGTTCTCTGCTGACAGCAGGGCGGATGAGAGCGTGTGTCGTGTGTGTGTGTGTGCCCGAGGAACGGGAGGGGGCCCGGGAGGCACCGACTTGCTCCAACTTGTTTACACCTGGCGCAATTTCCCCAACGCTCTGCCGGGTCCAGGGCCGCGGAAACACGCGTAGGGCGAGCACTGATGGCTGAAGACACCGTCAGCTCCCACTTAGACGCCCACACGACCCAGAACCCTAGTTTACCCCCCTCTTACATTTTATGACGGATTGGTTTCTATTGATGCGTAAAGTTATAAACTGCCCTGAAAGCAAGACGGGGGATCCGGGAAGGGGGCGGGGGGACGGACAACTGACAAGACTTACACAGCTGAAGTGCCTAGTATTAGGACTCGGGGGCAAATCCGAGGACGCCCCGGAGGAGCTGGCGAGGCTGTTTCCTTGCAGGGTCAGCACGCCCTGGGGGTCGGGCTGCTGGGACTTGGCTCCGTTGGTTCCCCAGCCCCTGGGATTCGGAGCCGACGGGAGCGCTAGGGGACACTCGGGCTGCCCGAGGAGGAGAAGACTGGGATGCAGTGGGAGCTCCGGAGGTGGCCGGGGCTGTGCCGCCAAAGAAAACAGCCGAGGTCTCGGGCGGCTCTGGGGCCGCTGCCCCTGGGTCGGGAGAGCGCGGGAGGCGGCGACGCGAGGACGCGCCCAGACTCTGGGCGCGCCGGGGGCGGGCGTTCGGCTGGAAGTGGGACAGTGTCTCCTATGGGAAAGCGGGACCCGGCGAGCTCTTTGGCCGCCTTTCCAGTTTCGGAGGTATCCGCCCCCGTGCGCCGGAGGCAGCGCAGCCCCGAGGGCGAAAGAATGGCGGTTGGCAAACTTGGAACGAGCGCGCGCCCGGGATCCGAATTGCCGGAATTGTGGCGGGGGCGGGGGCGGCCGAGCCCCAAGTTCACTTTTTCCGCCCGCCCGCCGACGGGCCTTAGGGACGGGCATTGCTCTAGCTCCAACCAGGTGGAGCGCCTCGCCAGAGGGAGTTATGTCAGGGTGATCCGAGGCAGGGAGGGCGGCGGCCAGCGCCGGTGTGGAGGGGGTCCCTGGGGTCCCCAGCACCTCTCCCGGTGTCTCCCCTCCCACCCGCCCCTCCCGTCTTTCTTTCTTGCTCCTTCCCCAGGCTGGCGGGACCGGCGCGGACTTGCCCTAGACCTACGGGGAGCGCCCCAGGTCTTTAATGACAGCTTAAAAGAGGCTGTTGGAAAAGTCGAAAGGGATGAGGCTGACGTGGGGCGTGTTTCGCTCCTTTGCAAGAGTCGGAAAGGGAGCTGGGAGCCGTGCGGCTGGCCCCAGGCCCCCGCGCCTCGCCGCCAGCAAGTAGGTGGGGGAGCCGCCGCCGCCAGCCCCATCCCGCTCCCAAGCCTCGCCCGCTGCGCCCTGGCCGCGGGCGCAGAGAGGGTGCGGGGCCTCGCCGTGCCTCCTCCACCCTGCTCATTAACCTGCCTGCTCCGCTCCGCTTCGGGCGGCGCCAGACACGGGCTTCTCCGAGCAGCACCCGCGGCCCGCCCGGCGCTGCCGCCTCCCCGAACCCCCGGCTCTGGGGGGCAATGAGGGGGCGGTGGAAGGGGCACCGCTCCTCCGGCATTACTTAGAGAAGCGAGACCGCCCCGCCCTCCCGCCGGCCCTCCCTCTCTCCCGCCCGGGCCCGCGCGCCACTCCGCCAGAGGGTAAGTTGGGAGTGTTTCACCCCCACCGACAGCTTTCCCTCCCCTTTCTCCCCCCCCCCTTTCAAAGTTTTCTTAGGACTGGGGAGAGGGGTTGGGGAGGAAGAGGGTCCAGCCAGTCCCAGTCCTTACCCTCTCCCTGTCTAACTTACCCCCGCCTCCCTTCCCCTCCATCCCCTGCGCGCCGCTGCCCCTCCGGAGCCGCGCTCCGAACTGACAATTGGAGCGCGGCTCCTTTAAGAGCCCGGCTTTGCCTCCCGGTAGCTGAAGGTCATTAAACACAAAAGCTCTCAGCGCTGCGGTCCAATATAGCGCATGCGCCCTGCCCGAGGACTGGCAGAGAGACGGCAATATGGCGAGAATGCCTGGCAGCGGGGACTGTAACACCAGCGCGGGCGGCAGCGCCAGCGCCGCCGCCGCCGAGAACAATGGGGAGCGGGGCGAGGGCGAGCGCTGTGCGGGGGGCCGCGGCCGCCGCCACGGCCGCCCGCACTACTGCAGCGCGGGCGAGGAGGAGGAGGAAGAGGAGGAGGACGACGAGATCCAGGAGGTGCAGATAACGGGGGACGAGGAGGAGGAGGACGGAGGTGGGGGGCTGGAGGAGGACGAGGAGGAGGAAGAGGAGGAGGACGACGAGATCCAGGAGGTGCAGATAACGGGGGACGAGGAGGAGGAGGACGGAGGTGGGGGGCTGGAGGAGGACGAGGAGGAGGAAGAGGAGGAGGAAGAGATGGGGCTGGACTGGGATGAGCCCCTGGAGCCCGAGGACTCGGCCGGGGAGGAGCTGGAACCCGAGCCGGTCCATATGATCAATATGGACCAGAGCGCCGCGCTGGAGCCCGAGGCGCCGCCGCGATTGCTGGCGCCCCGGGCCCGCGGCGGGCCGCCCGGGGACAGCGCCGAGCTGGACCCCGACGTGCTGCAGCGCCCCGAGCGGGCCCGGCTGAGCGAGAACACCCGGCTGGCCACCCGCTACGCCGTGCGCATCTTCCGGGAGTACCTGAGCGAGAAGGCGCAGAGCCCGGACTTCGAGACCATGGACAAGGGGGCGCTGTGCCGCGTGCTGCGCTCTTTCTACGCGGAGGCCCGCTCCAAGAGCGGCCAGCTCTACAGCAAGTCGTCGCTCATCAGCATCCGCAGCTCCCTCAACCGCTACCTCAACGAGCCCCCGTACTGCCGCACGCTCGACCTCACCAAGGACCCCGAGCTGCGCAGCGCCAACCTGACACTGGCCGCGGTCATCCGCAAGCTCGAGGAGCAGGGCGCCGGGCCCGTGGTGCAGAAGCAAGCCATCACGCGTGCCGACCTGCGCAAGCTCTACACCTCCAGCGTCTTCAGCACCAACACGCCCTTCGGGCTGCTCAACAAGGTCTGGTTCGAGACGTGCATGTACTTCTGCACGCGCGGCCGCGAGAACCAGCGCGAGCTGGAGGAGGACTCCTTTGGGCTGGCTATGGACGAGGACGGCCGCAAGTTCGTCTACTTTAAGTCCCTCGGGCCCTACCACAAGTCGCGCTCGTCGTCGTGGAGCAAGAAGCGTGCCGAGAGCAGCGACGAGGAGAACTTGCCCCGCATGTACGAGACGGGCACCGAGTTCTGCCCCTACGCCAGCTTCGTGAAGTACCTGTCGAAGCGCAACCCTCTCTGCAAGGCGTTCTTCCAGCGGCCCCGGGACCACTGCAGCGAGGGCGATGTGACCTGGTACGAGAACAAAGCCATTGGCAAGAACTTGCTGGGCACCAGGATGCAGATGCTCTCGAAGGCGGCCAAGCTCTCCAAGACCTACACCAACCACTGCATCGGCGCCGTCTCCATCGCCACGCTCAACAGCATCGCGGGCATCGGCACCAAACTGGGCTCGCCCGCCCCGCAGGGCTGCTACTCGGAGGCTCTGAACGGGGCTGCTCGCCACCACTCCCACCATCCCCCCCCCCATCCCTCCCACCACCACCGCCCCCAGCCGCCCTCGCTGGGGAACACCTATATCCTCCCCAAAGACAGCCAGGTCGGGCCCGACGTGAAATCCGAGGCTGCGCCCAAGCGCGCTCTGTACGAGTCCGTGTTCGGGTCGGGGGATATCTGCGGCCCCTCTTCCCCCAAAAGACTTTGTATCCGCCCCTCGGAGCCTGTGGATGCGGTGGTGGTGGTTTCCGTGAAACACGACCCCCTGCCTCTTCTTCCAGAAGCCAATGGGCACAGAAGCACCAATTCTCCCACAGTAGTTTCACCTGCCATTGTTTCCCCCACCCAGGTAACCAAACCAAACTCTATGCATGAAATGTTTCTGGTACCGTTTTGGGAGTAACTCGTGCTAATGCAGGTCTGGGGTGGGGGCGGGGAGGAGTTTTAAAAAGTGCTAAGTAGACTGGACCAGATTGGATCTCAGCCTTAGAAGCCTAACTCTTGGTGCTTTTCAGGAAAGTTTACAGCTCACCTTAAAAGATGGGAGAAGGCACGCTCCCTAAATCCGTGCTGCGCAGTAAGGTTAAAACTTCAAAGTTCGCAGAACAAAAGGTCCGTAGGAGGTAGCCGGGCTCTCCATTGAATGCATGACTTTTCTAAGGCAGGGTGCCAGAATACCGTGCATATAAAGGAAGCAGTTACTTAAAATATATTTGAATAAAGTAACTATTAAAATGCTCTCTTGCATATTCGCCATAACTTAGGAAGATTAAAAAAAAAAAGATTCTATACTAAAAAAGAAAACATGCCAAGCCCACTTCCTGTATGTGGGTGGGGAGTGGAGAGATTGGCAGTCCAGTGCCAGTTTATGCTGTAACAGGTAGCTGGACATAAAGTGATGTTTGGGGTGTAGTTTCCATAAACTGAAGTCACTTGTTAATAGATGGAAAGGGGTATCCGCACTACCAGCCAGGCTCTGTGCCCTGTGGTGCCCAGCACAGTGGGGACCAAACCTTGCTGCCTTTCCCTAGCCCCATGGGGCTCACCATCTAGGGGACAGATAAGACTTGAGAATATAGATATTTCATTAAGACCAAACAGCACAGTAGTGTGGGAAGCGCACCCACAGTTAAGAGTTGTAAATGTAGCCCAGAAGCTGAGCCACCTTGGGCAAATCAGTTCACCTCTCTGGGCTTCAGCGTCCTCATCAAGGATTAGGGAACTGTTTTAATACTAAAATGATTTAGTTCTAAGCAGTACCAAATTTTAGGTTGAGAGGGAGGGCTTCCCCGGATGCTTCTCGTCTTATTATTTAGAGGAATATATTCATATTATTTAAAATTGTGTTCATCTTTTGGAGACTCTTCTCTAAAGGAGCCAGAAACCAGAAGGTCTTTGGGGACTGTGCTCTGTTCTGCAGGCAGGCGTAGCCACTGGAGGTTTTACAGCTTTGACCTCCCTGCCATCAAGCAGAAGTAGGAATTTCGACTGTTAAGTCTGGAGGTGGTAGTGCAGGCCCTTCGAGGAACAGATGTCAGGTACCTCTGTGCTTTTTCCAAAGTGGAAATTCCAGTTCTAGACAAACTGACCCTTTCAAAGGTTTACCAGCTAATCAGCAAGCCTCAAGGCCAGCAGAGAAAGGGGCTGTGAATGGTAATATAAACACCAAAGTTCTCTAAAATACACAAGACCTGCAGGCTATGTGTTTTTCTCTCCTTCCAGTGTGCGTGGTACATTTCCGACAGATCAGGGGGTGGTTTTATGGAGTTGTGAGGGCCGAGAGGAGAATTCTTCTTTGGAGAATTGGGGTTTGCTTTTTCTCTGAAAGCAAAAATAAATGTTCGCATTCTTCTAATCAAGTAAGACCCTTGAAACATCCTGGTGTAGAGTAGCACCTGATTAAGAGTTAAACGCCGGAGAAAGTTTATTAAAGTCTAGATCTGCATGGAATAATAATGAAACAGTTTGTCTACTGGCATCTGGCTGCTGGTTTCTTGACATCAGTGTCCTGTAGAATCATGACTTAAGGTTTCACAGAAGATGGACGAGGGAGTTGCTGAGTGGGTTTTGTTTTGGTCTAAGGAATGCAGTTGCCCTGTCACAGTCTTGTTTCCACTGAGGGAGATAAATCAGTTCTCTAAACCTGACTACTGATTCTTTTCTTTTTCTGAGTTATAGTCAGATAAATATAGATTAAAGTTACATACAGATTTGAGTGTCCATATGTTGGCTAGATCGTTATTATGCAAACATTTTTGCGTAAGTTCCTTGTAGTTAAAACACTACAAAAAGTTGTTCTTTTTGCACATATTTAAGTCAGCCTTTCATTTATGTGAAAGTAAGTTTTTTTAATCAGCATTAAGAAGTTTTAAGGAAACTCTTTAGTAACTCCTACAGAGCTCGCTGCGCATTCTAAGAATGAAACGAATGTTTAGTTTATGTAGAAAGCTGATACTAAACTTTTTCCTCTTGTATTTATTAAAATCACTGTACCATTTGAGGTCCAGGGCATTTCCTGGGGATTGTTGACTGGCTGGGGTTACTGGCCCAAGGCACTGCTTCAGGAGCTCAACTCCTCTTGCCGGTCATTAATCTTCAGGAAATGCTGTGTGTACCTGGAGCTTCAGTCATTATTACTTAATTATAAACATGGGCTGTCTAACCTTAATATCGGCTAGGCTCATCAAGTGGCAGTGCATGGAATTCTGCTGTTGACCATATTATTCTAGGCTTCTTGGTAACACTCACACCCTGATGCTCTGATCTCTTCTAACATTGCAAGTTTCTCAAAAAAAATGAAGAGCCTATTACTCTAATTTTTACTTTTTGAGAGTGTTACTAAGGGTGTCATTTGTGGGACTGGTTGAAAAATGAATGCATTCAAGGATTAACGATTATGGAATTTGTGATTTTGACTCACGTGAAGTTCCTGGCTTTTGTTGATTTGGGGGGGGGAGGAGTTATGGTGATGGTTGCTTTAAGAAGTTTACTAATTCTCTGGAATGGCAGTTAAAAGTAAAGGGCAATTCTTGTCTCCCCTCCTCCTGCATAGCTGTTGTGACCTAAGATGATCCAGTTACTGGTGCAGCTTCCTAGCAATCTTGGAGATGACATGGTACATTTAAAAAGGTTTAGCACAGCCCATCCTACAATTTCAGAGCTGTTCTCCTTACGTGAAAATACAGCATTTTTCCTGCCTCAGAGAACAATACTTCAGCTTCGATATCCATCTACAGAGATTTCTAACTTTAGTCTTTATCATCTACACAAAAAGAATATAAGAGTTTAGATTCTCTAAATATCATAGCTTTGTCGCTAGAGCTTTTATAAACCGTGCCTTTCTCCAGCACCGAACAAAAATGTGAAAATCAGCTCCCTGAAATAGACTTAGACACATTCGTAAGCTTGTGCCAAAGGTGTCTTCAGTTCTTATTTGACTTCAACCCAGGTTATTTCCGGGAATACTTCTAAGGAATTCTGCAGGTAGGAAATAAGCAGTGGGGAGATTCTGGAGTTGGTGGAGCCCATCGTCCTTGTCTGTTTCTTTGGCTTCGCTAGGGACCAGAGTCGGGCCTTACAGTTTCCCAGCTGAAAATTGGAGCAGCCTCTCTGTGGGGCACACGCAGTCGTTAGTGACCTTGCCTTTGAGAAGTCAGATGTTGATAGCCCTGGGAAAACAGTCTTCATTCAGGTGCTTAGTGTGGGAAGGGAGAAGGAATATTTAATCTGTCTGCTTAATAGAAACAAACAAACATGCATTTTATGTATTACTGAAATAATCGCCAAAGTCTTGTTTTTAATTTGGGAGGGCTGCTCTTTCGTACCGAGGGAATCAAACTTCTGTAAACATGAAGAGTGTAGTGGGTTTAACAGCCAAAGCAATTGTAACAAGACTTTCTCGTAATGGTTATCTGGAGCTATTAGGATTAGCTGCCTTGTTTAAAACAGGTATTTTCCTGATCTTTAATGTTAGTTTATGGCTACCTTCCTTTTTCTACTACAGGAATATTTGCTCTCCATTCAGAATGGTGGAGAAACTAAATGTCAGTAACATAACTATGTAACTTTTTTCATTCATGCAGGAAACAGTTATTGAGCATCTACTGTTGTGGCTTTTGTACCAGGAATCTTTATAAATTAATCCATTTTTCACTTGGCAAGTAGTTGCATTGGCAGGATTTTGGCCTCATTAACTATTAAAACCAGATCAAAATAAAGTTAAAAGGTGAAACACGTAATGTGTTGCCGCAGTCATTTTGGGAAAGAAATGTGTATTTTTAGCTCTTACATACTATTACTGCAGTCATGATACACCCTTCGTGTATGCCGGCCCGCCATTAAACCCGACCCAGGAAACGGGAAGAAGTATTTGCTGCCAAATGAGAAAGCGGCTCACAGTCATTTAAAACTTAAATCTTTGTGTCACCCTGATTTTAAAATCTGGCTCCCCCAAATAGATGTTACCTAAAAGGCTCTCCTCTTGTCACTACACGTGAGAGCCCCTTCTGCAGGTAGGACTGCTCCTTGCACGTGGAACTGCTGAAGCGGGTTCTGCCTTGGCCTAGGCCAGTCAAAACCCCACTTCAGTTATTTAACAAAAAGTTCAGTTTCAAGTTAACCTTTTGGTGTCCTAGCTGCCATTTGAAAAGCAAAATTGATGTAGGAGTTGCGGTGCGGTTGCCCATGTTGAAAATCTTGGGAACAAACATACAAGGTGGGTCTGTCATTTGCTAGAGCTTTATTTCTAGGACCTGTGTTTACTTCTCTTGATTGAGCCTTCACCGCATCATACCAGTTAGTCAGGATGCCTTTTTAAAGACTTCTCTGGACAATTTAGAAAGAGGAGAAGGGAGGGGAAATTAGTTGGTCCAAAAAGGGCTGTCGATTGACCTTGATGAACCAAAATGAAAGAAAAACGTAGCTTTCAGATTTGAAACTTTGCATGGGCAGACTTTTTCATTGAACACTAGTGGTGTTGTAAAGACACTGAATTCAGGTCAACCATTGTTGATCCAGCCTCTGTCTACCTGCGAAGTGCTGTCTAAAGGAGCACGATTTGGCCCTTGCCCTCAGTCCTCAGTGGGGGTTTGTAGAGGATGGGCAAGTTAGTGCGCTTCAAGCTGGAGGAATTGTCTGCTTGATACTCGCACAACACGGTGGAAACAGATGAACTTTTAAAGTTTTAGGTTCTGTAAGATTTTAGGCCCTTTGGGTTTTCAGATTTGTAAAAGTTTCCCCTTGCTATTCTTCGAGAGAGAGGATGGGCTCTGAATGGTGTCAAGTCTTTTATAACAGGGATTGAGCTTCTAGATAGTCTAGAAATAAATGAGTGTTTAAGCTGGTTGAGATACCTCACCATAGCAAGGACTGTATTTTCTAATGCCCATGGCTTTAAACTACAGTATATCCTCTCTACCACAGGAGACCAAACCTAATTAGACGTTCTAGGTTTTCAGGATTTCTCCCCGTTCTTCTGTTCAACTTTCTTTACAGTCAGACTTCCTTTCAGCTTATACTTTAACAACCTGACAGAGCCTGTTCTTTCTCCCTAAAAAAGATACATTTATATATGACTGCCAACTTTTATTAGTCACTTTTTTGAAATTCATATCTTATCCTAAACTTGGTCCATGTGCGGGATTTTTTAAAAACAACAAAGCAGACAATCTCTTATATAGGACTGTAAACAGTCCAGAGCGTCTGAACTTCGATCAGAGGTTTTGTCCCAGCACTTTGCTCTGAAACTGCTTTAGGAACCCCAGTGGGAACTTCCTTCTGGAAACCCACCGCATTCTGAGATCTGTGATTCCTGTTGAGTGACTGCGATCAGTTGAGCCCCTGTTGGTTCTCCAGGCAGTGAGTTTGGTTGTGTTTAATATGCGGGGTGCAGGGAAGTCATAAAGCGAGTCCATGTATATAACCCTGGAAAACTTGGGGCAACCTTGAAGGGAGAGGATTGGGAGCCTGCCAGAGCAGCTCAGGTATTCCCACATCACCAGGCTATTCTGTGCCTCCGGCCCCTCCACCCCAGCACCCCTCCCCTCCCAGGTAGGCATTTGAAAATCACCTTTATCATGCAGACCTTTCCTGGGAGGATCTAGCCTCATTTACACCTTGAACAACTGCTTTCCCCTGATCACCTGGCAGTGAACCCTGGAAGATGGGCGTTTCGATCCTGTCTGGGAGGAAGGAGGTAAAAATGTGCTACCCGAAAGGGTTGACA